CAGCGCTATGAATGCGTTTATTGTATTAACTCGGGACCCGGCGCGCTTAATTCCAATAGACAACAACGACTATCAAGGGCGACGACGCGCATCCAATGCGCCAGCCACCAAAGCGAATGGACGCAGTCGCAGATATCGAACGTAAGGCAAAAAAGCCTCGTCTACTTTCTATTCACCTGTGTCTCTCGAGTCACCTACTCCCCCGATTCCAATGCGCGCTGCCTTTGGACAACTGAGAGAGAGAGAGAGAGAGAGAGAGAGAGAGAGAGAGAGAGAGAGAGAGAGAAAGCGAGAGAGGGAGAGAGAGAGAGAGAGAGAGAGAGAGAGACGAGCGAGTTTGCTTTCAAAACTTTCCGAGCCAGCCGTCGCTCGCCATTTGCATTCGTGAGCCACGTATTCGCGAGGTTCCGTCCTCCGGCGCCTCCCCCCACACTGCCCCCCTCACCGACACTGCCATCCCCCCGGGGCGTGCGTATGCCCATGTAAGCCCACAACGAACAAGTACGTGCTAACTCGAGTCCAGTTAGCGCGGTTAACGGCCATTTTTAACGGTACCGCGCACTTGACGCGTCACGGCCTCAACCCGACGAGCTGCTTCTTTCCGCAAAAACTCGTGGACGATGTCGCCGTTCAAAAAGCCCAGGAATTATCGAATGCTCATTCAACCGTGTATATACCGTGAATTATTCATATATCGCCCCGGCATTGACCAAGCGGCTAATCTCATCTCCCCCCATTAGAATTCCCTCGGCTGCTAAAGGGACGAATCGCGACGGCGGCGATACGGTTACAGTCCAGCGCGCTGGAGGGTGAAAAACCAGGCCAACGGGTTTTCACACTACCTAAAATTTAGTCTCATCACTCCCGTCGGTAAATTGCCAGGGCTCGGGTGGGACACCTAAGGTCTCGACGGTTTAACCCAGGAAGAGGAGAGCATTTGCCATTCCGTTGTAGTTACGGGCGAGCGCGCACATTCTCGACATTCCGGGCTCCGCGCTGCCGCCGATAACAGGTGACAAAAAAAAACAAAGAAATAAAAATATGGATTACTTTCCGGGAAGGCGCGCTAATACGAGCGAGAAAACAAAGAGTGAAAACTTCACAAGCGTAATAAACACAGGGCGAGCGGGTAATTTAGATGTCCCTTCCGCTACCAGGTAATTAGCACCTTCCAAACGAATGCTGCCCACGCATGCGCCAACGCGTCGTATTAGGCCACGTGCAAGCCGAGGACCGTAGCGTGGGTCATGCGTTAAGGAACTGGTCCCGGGCACGATGGCACTCCGGGTCCAATTCGCGTTAAAACATGGGCCCGAGATATGGCGGAGATTGAAAAAACGGAAAAGTCCGCACGGGCGAGTGATTTTGCACTTGAGAAAAGGCGCTTCTTCGATCGCAACACGATGATGGTCTTCGATGTTCGGCAGGATGTCAAGGATCCTAGTCTCTCTCCCTCTCCCCTTCTCCTACTACTCCTTCTCCTCCCTCTTTCACTCACTCACTCACTCTCTCTCTCTGTCGCGCGCGCCATCGGTTGCTCTGACTCGAAGGAGCGTGCGAGTCAAGAGGTTGATAACCGAAACGCATGGTTGCCCCCGAGGGCTTGAGAGCAGCGTGCCTGACTGCTCCGATGCCTCCCCACCTCCCAACCCCGGCTCCACGACACCCCCCCCCCCTCCTCCGCCCCGCGAC